CCATTGCTACTCTATACTGCCTTCCCAAGGTACATAAGAACATCAATAAACCACCGGGTAGACCAATTGTTTCTGGGAATGGCTCTATCACGGAACGAAGTAGCAAATTTTTAGAGAAATTGCTACATCCGTTAGTTACTGATCTTCCGTCTTACCTCCAAGACACCAAACAAACCCTTATCCTTTTAGAAAATTTAATTGTGCCACCTTATTGTCTTCTGGGGAGTCTTGATGTTGTGGCTCTTTATAATAATATACCTCACTCTATAGGCCTCGCAGCAACCCGGCACTTTCTTACTAAATCCAACAAATTTTCGGAATACCAGCCTGATTTCATCATCCAACTTTTGGAATATGTACTTACACATAACTTTTTTGTTTTTAATGGTACATATTACCTCCAGCTCAGGGGCACAGCTATGGGCACAGCTTGTGCCCCCAGCTATGCCAATTTATACCTGGGCTGGTGGGAGGAAACCATTCTAGATCCCATCATTAGAACTAGGTATCAAACGTGTATCTACAGTTGGCATAGGTATATTGATGACGTCCTGGTATTCTGGTTGGGCTCTGTCAAGCAATTCGAAGAATTGGTTGAACTCCTCAATGTGAACTCTATTGGCCTCCAATTAACCCATGTAATTGACTCTGAACATCTAGTCTTTTTGGATCTTAATATTAAGATCTTACCCGATGGAACCATCGAAACCGAGCTTTATCGGAAACCGACAGCGACAAATAGTCTGTTAAATTGGGAAAGCCACCATCCCATCAAACTTAAATCTGGCATCCCATACGGACACTATTTGAGGGCTAGACGCAACTGCTCCAATGATGCAACATTTCAGCTTGAAGCTCAAAAGCTGCGAACCATGTTTAAACAAAAAGGTTACCCGAACAGAATATTGAAAAGAGCCTACCAACAAGCCTCTGCTAAAAATAGGAGCGAGTGTCTACATGCCAACAGACAAGTCTCGGACTCCAATATCATTCGATGTATCGGGACATATGACCAATACTGGGAACCAATTCTACATATTATGTCTCACAATTGGCCAATCCTTAATTATGACAAAGACCTTAAGGACAACATCACTAAGTTCCCCAACATTACTGCACGTAGGGCTAAGAACCTCCGTGACCATCTTGTTCACAGCCATTTAGAACCTAGCCGTAATCCAACTTGGCTAACTCCTGTTGCTGGTGTATATCGTTGTGGCCATTGTAAGGCCTGCAAACATATTAAGCCTTCCAAAACCATCTTGAGTACTCATACAAAAAAAGAATATAACATTAAACAATTCATCAATTGTAATTCGACAAAGGTGATTTATCTCATAACCTGCAGTTGCAATATTCAGTATATCGGTAAAACTTACCAACAATTCAGAAGAAGGATCCTCCAACACATATGCTCAATCTCTAACCTGAATGTCTCTACCCCACTATCCAATCATGTGAGACTCCGTCATGGGGGTAATCTAGCCATCTGACATTTCAGGCTATAGAAAGAATAACTTTAAATTCTCGGAAGGGCAATTTCAATAAAATACTGCTAATGAAAGAATCTAGATGGATCTATCATTTCCAAACACTGACCCCTCATGGGCTAAATGGAAACCCCATTTATTCATAAGTAACTCTATTTTTATTTTTCATCTTTAGCTTATGAATAATGATTTAACTGTTAGATCAAGTTGATCTAGTGCTGCAATACTACAGTTCCATATAATTTAATATCATGACTGCAGGACTCTCTGACATGTACGTTCATATACACATACACCTATAGTTCTTAATCTCGTTGGGTGTGTTTCTTATAATATAATATATATCTTTACACTCATCATTTAATGTTCCCATGTCCTTCCAATTTGGAGACTAATCTGTTAGGTTATAATTGATCTTGCCGTCTCTGAACTACATTGGTGCTTTGATTACTTCAGTACTATTTCTATGGGTATTTTCTTTACTTTGGTTGTCATATATTTGCAGTACACCCTTTTTTCTGTCCATTACTATCATCTTAATTTCATGGTTACATCTACCATTTATTATCTTTCTATTTTCTTAATTATTATATATGGTTTTTGTATATTCTCTCATTACTACCTTTCCGTTATAACCTGTTGATCATAGCTTCACGTATCTTACTATGGTTCCCTCTGTCGGACGATCTTGAACAGACTTCGATCATCATTTGACAATTCTATGCTTTCTCATCATTAGTCTTTTCTTTTCTTTTGGTTATTTATAAATTTGGTATAATCTCCTTGAGTAATGTTTATAATTATCCTCTATGTTTTCTCTTTTTTAAAATTACACACCACAATTGATATGTATTTATACATCATTCTCGTTTTTATTTACTATTTTTCTTTGCATCAGGTTTTTCTCATTTATGAAGTGATCAACTCATCACTTCTTTAAGGGTTAATATCCCTCGTTATGTTGAACAAACACACCTCTTTTTTTCTTACGTCATATCTTGTTATCCAATCCGAACACATTGCTTCCAACCAATCAGTTACTTCTTCTTCTTATTTAAACCCGGCTTTTTCTCCCCACCGGTTCCCCTTTGACGAGCTTGGCGGGCGAAACGCGCGCGTCAGGGGCTACACGGCTTTTCTATGCCGCTGTTTTCTTATCATAGATTATTTCTTATTATTATTATTTGTTTCCTCTGATTTGTGTTAATTTCGATACTAGTGGGGTGAGCGTTAGGTGCCCTCGAAGGCACGGGGGTGGAGTGTCAGCCGTAGCGCTAGCCTTTTTCACTATTACTAGTCAGTGTTAGACACTATTTGCTATCTTTTAGTGCAGTGTTATTCGGTACCCTTTTGCTCTTAACTAAGGGCTGCACCCTGAATATTCAACTGCACTATCTATTTGCAGTATCCATTTATTATTTTTTATTATTTTCTATTTTCACCTGATTTATTATTTCTTTTTCTCTCCTAATCATATCCTTCAATTACATCTTTGGCTGTCATACTATCGATATAATACAGTATTATATACTTCTGCTATATTTTTAGGGCTGCACCCGTACTATTTAAAGATACATACCTTTAAACCATCCACCGATACGGTTGAGAATTCTCATCTACCAATACATTCAGATACACTTTGTTATACCTCTGTTACAGTTTCAGGCTGATACCTTTGATTACTTTAATATACGGCTGATACTGTTGAGAACCCTCATTTGCCGACACACTGTGATATATATTGTATGTAGCAGCCTTCTAACACGCTACTCAGGCTGCCCTATTCTATTTCAGTTATTACCAGTATTTCTTTATTTTTTTTCTCAGTGTAACTGGCATCTGTAACTCTTTCTCCCCCCCCCCCCTCCTTTCTTTCCTTTTGCGCAGACGTGCGCTAGGATTAGGTTAATGTACAACCACCCAATCAGAGTTTATCCTGTATATATTACTATATTTTTGTGTTTCATTCTTATTATAATCAGAGTCTAGCTCACATATACACTAAGATCTCTGTGTTATTTCTATATTTTTGTGTCATTTTTAATTAATTATTACCAATAAACTTGTTTCTTATTTTTTGGACCCTGTGGTCCCTTTTAGATGAGCCTGAATTCTACACATTTTGTGTTGTAGTCTCAGGCCCTGACTAGTCCTCTCCCTACCTTAAAGGTACACACTTCCTTTGTTTTGTATCCCTACTCACCAGAACAAATTCAATAAGCTGTAGTTGTTCTGGTGACTATAGTGTCCCTTTAACATTTGATATTTCTAGACTCAGGACAAAATTTAGAAACTATTTAGCACGGGTGTTCTTTGTTGGTTGTAGATGCGTAACAGATTTTGGGGGTCAAAGTTAGAAAAAGTGTTTTTTTTAATTTTTCATCATATTTTATAATTTTTCTTATAGTAAATTATATGATATGATGAAAATAATGTTATCTTTAGAAAGACCATTTAATGGCGAGAAAAACGGTAAATAATATGTGTGAGTACAGTAAATGACTAAGAGGGAAATTACAGCTAAACACAAACACCACAGAAATGTAAAAACGGCCGTGGTCCTTAACGGTAAGAAAATTTAAAAGCGGTCTGTCACTAAGGGGTTAAGTAGGGTCTGAACTTCCAGTCAGTATAGTGTCACTAACCTTTTCTTTTTTCTGTAAAATCTTACCTTACATATACAAACTGAAAATAAAGAGTTTAAAAAAATATAATAACTGTAGAATAAGACACTATGCAGTGGAATGCCTAGGTAGAAATAATTACCACCAGTCGGTTTCATGGCCAAAGATCCTTGAACTATCCATGTTTTAGCTAGTTGCCTTCTGCATGCTTTTGCAGCTAGCAGGCAGTAATGCATTTGGACGATATCTCATAATTTGGTGGGGGGGGAATTCGTTTATGAGCCATTTGAACCTGTTGGGAAGTGATCCTGTACTCACCTGGATCCATTTTAAAACAATTTAGTACACTCTGGAGAACAGCAAGTTTTGTGAACTGCCTCCATTACCATTATATATCCAGAAATATTTTAAGACTCTAAGTTCTAAATGATAAAAAAAAACACTGCAAGCAAAGCTTTTGTGTTTAACAGCACATTAGAAACTACTGAGAGCAGAGTAATAGTTATGGTGCAATGTTTTATACTAAGCAAAGAACTACTTTTATCAAGGTCCAGCCTGCCACACAGCGCACATACTGGCAACCTGGTCAGGAAGTATGGGGAGACAGGCTCCAGGTCAGGAAGTGTTTACAATCCATGCATTAAATCTTCTAGAATTCTCTTCACTGCCAATTGATTAATGCATCCGCCCTAAACAAAGATGGCGACTTCGCCTACTCCCTTCTATGTGTTCGCCCAATGGTCACTGATGACGTGTCTTGCCTACCTCACACGCTGTACACCGCCTTCTGATGACTTTTCAGAGAACGCCTAGCAACAGACTTCTGATTGGTTGTAGCGTTGATTACGCCATAGGTCAAAAGTAAATAAATAACCCCTGATTGGCCGGCTGGGCCTGCCTCCTTGGACCAATCGTGGAGTAGTGCAGCCCGATTCAAAACGTGTTCGGCTGGTGGCGGTTACAGTTAACCGTCTGAGTGAGCGGCGGCGGTAAGAGGAGATAGAGCGATCCTGCGGCCTGGCCGCTCTGCCCACAGCATGTCCTACAAGAACATCTACTACTCCGACAAATACTCGGATGAGAAGTATGAGTACAGGTGAGCGGGGAGCTCGGGCGCTGTGTGAGGGCGGGAGGCCGCTGGGCTCAGGCTCTCCTTCCTGGTGAGAGCCGCCTCGTGTATCGCGGGCAGCTGGCTGGGAGCAAGGCCGGCCGGACGGCCATGGACACCGTGGGATCTCCGGGGATATCCATCGCTCTCAGGCCGTGCTCAGCCTCACCCCTGGGGTCACACTCTGCCCCCCGGCATCCGTCCATCGTGCCCAATATCCTGCGATGGCGAGTTTCCTGGGCAGGCTTGCCTGGTGTCATGTTAGTCACACTCTAACTGTAAATGGCTATAAAGATAAAGCCCAGGGCACCGTATTCTTTATTATTAATAAAGCGCCAACAAGTTCCGTAGCGCTGTACACTGGGTGGACTAACAGACCCTTGTTTGTAACCAGACAGGTTGGGCACAGTGCGGTCAAGCGGTTTTCGGTTGACTTGATAACTTTGCTTTAGTCTGTGGCTGTTGATCGCCTCATTGTTAGCCCTGCGGTTCCTGGTGTCACGACTACAGTGGGTGAAGTGGTGCTGGTAGTGGTCTTTAATTAACCTCTTAAGGACACGTGACATGTCATGATTCATTTTTATTACAGAAGTTTGGTCCTTAAGGGGTTAAAGTGACTTTAGGCTTCAGAACCACTACAGCTTAGACTTTGCATTCTGGGCAAAGAGTTTACTACTGGCGGAGCGGTGTAAACCACCTTTTTTGCAAACAGGTAAAATGTACACCGCTGCCTGATCCTGCCTCAGGTGCTCTGCATTTGGACTCACTGGGTTTGATCCTGCAAAGATCGCTGGTCCTGACACTCAATGCATCTCTGAGCAGATGTGGATTGCCCTTCTCTGGTGAACCATTGAGTTGGCTGAGATCATCAGAACTGATGATCTAAAATGTCTCTGTAAAAAGGCATGCTATCGTTGTGAGGTGGCCCACGGGTAAAAGGTAGGTTTTAGGAACCTAACCAATGGCACTTCTATCTTAATCCATTGCATCCTCTTTTGCTTCTGATGCTTTATTTGCCAGGTTCTGACATCAGGGCTCTAGTCTCGCACATGTAGGTCACCGAACCTGCAGGGGCCCTTGGTGCCTGACAGGGACCCAGGTAAGAGGGAAAACTGTTGCAAAATGATTTGCCCATGTATTTGGGAACAGGAATTATAGACTGAGCCAATTGTACAAGTTGTGACCAAAATCAAACTTAAACGAAAACTGAAATTTGCGTTTCACGTGCTTCAACCAGAACTCACATCTTTCATATTAGGCTGGTGAGGAAACTCAGTTGGTAAATTCCCAGACTACAGAACCTGTTTAGAAAATGCAAGGTCACAGGTCCAAATTCTGGCAGGGTAAACTCAGCCCTTCATCTGCCCAAGGTCAGTTAAAATGAGTTCCATCAATTGGATAAGCTCTTTTATTCAGCTGCCCGTTAGGTTAATTCCGAGAGCATGCGCTGAAAAGTACTTTGAGTCCCACTGGGAGAAAGGTGCTATAAATATATAGTTTTGCTCCAGAGAGAGAGGTTTTTCATATCAAAGATTTATATTTGAAAAATAAATATATGAAAAATAATTTAATATAAAAGCTTTAAAAAAAAAAAAAAAATTAATCTGAGAAATTCTATGAGACCGTATAGCCGTCCAGAAATGAAAACTAACCCCATCGTGGCATACTATTTGTTAAAGCAGACAACCCAAGGTATTCAAAATGGGGTGTGTCCAGTACCTTTTTTTTAAGTAGCCACTTGGTCACAAACCCAGGCCAAAGTTGGCAATTCTTTATATTTTCTTTTTTTTTTTTTTTTACTCAAACTACCCTTTTACCAATTTTATCAGAATACCTTTTACTGCTCTAAAACATATTTGTGTAGAATGTCTCACTAGTACAACCGTACCCATCATGTACAGGTTTTATGGTTTTTTTTGGAAAGTTACACGGTCAAATATAAGGTTTGCCAATTTAATTCTGAAATTTGCCAGATTGGCTATGTTGCTTTGAGACTATATGGTAGCCCAGAAATGAAAATTAACCCCACAATGGCATAGCATTTGAAAAAGTAGACAACCCAGGGTATTCAAAATGGGTTATGTCCGGTCTTTTTTAGTAGCCACTTGGTCACAAACGCTGGTTACATTGCAGCTCTAAGTTTGCCCTCTGTGACTTTTGGTCAGTTATCTGATGTTTGACGTCCTCACGGACTTCCAGCGTCAGATTTTCCTCATATGAAAGCATTTAATAATGTTCTTTCCTATGTGGAAGTCAAATGCATGCACGCATGCGCATTGGGTCTCACCCGTCAGTTGACTTGGGCAGAGCCTGTCTCTGCGACATCAGCGCTGGATTCAGATAAGTTGCTGAATGGATTTTAACTGCTTGGGCTGTCAGGCAGTAATTCCTCCCCCCCAGGATCGCTGTTCCAGGTAAGTACGAGACGGCTGGGCGTACTATGCTGCCAACTGGAGTTTAGGCCCACCCGTTTTAAGGACGGTGTAGCACGCCAGCTGTCCTTGAGTAGTCAAAACAAATCATTTTAGTATGTTTTGCATAAAACACCATTTTAAGCGATGACCAATAGTGCCACAAAGGAGGGGAAATCCTTTTTGATTCCGTAATGGCAATCAGAATATTTTTACCTTCTATCAGCATGCTGTTCCCATGTATGTAAAAGCTTGCTGATAGAAGCCACTAAATTACAACTACAGTGCATTTTGTGACATGCCAGACTTTGAGGGTCCTGTGTAGAGCTGCAGATTGCTGTTGCCAAAATTAGCAAAAAAAAAATTATTGACCAGCCCAGAACTCTTGATCCAGGCTTGCTAATGATGTTCCAATGACTCTGCCATAGATGGTTACACCTCCAGGGGATATGGAATTAAATTCAGTATGTGCAGCATTCCATAGCATTATGACTATTTCAGATCAATAAAGTTTATGGTGATTAACCCTTTTGTAGCCATTTAATGTTTACGTTTCCTTGTGGGATTCTTATTCCAAAATGCTTGACTTTCCATTTACCTATTTTGAATGTTGCCTGCCGAGATCCAACATATGACTTTTTTTTTAAAGCTACTTCAACATAATTGAAACAGATTAATGTGAAGAGGAACAAAGGGAACCCTGATGTACCCAACTTAACACTTGTCTGGTTTGTAGATTTTTGGTCTGTGTAAGGGTGTGGATTTTTTTAAATAAATCTACTTGTCCAAGGGTTTTAAATAAATCTACTTGTCCAATAAATCTACTGGCCCAAACTACTTGTATTTCGTGGTCTTTTACTGACACAAATTATCTCCACCTTGGCTATTGTAACTTTTTGCTTCTAGTTTTTCATTTAGATTAAATTAAAGGGATACTATCATACCAGGAATTCAAAGCTGTATTACTGACACTATAGCTCAACCTGCAACCCCCCTCCTTTATGATCCAAGAAGCCCTCTAGTGGATATCTGGTAAACAGCCACTAAGGGCAGACTTAGTGCTGCAATGTAAACATGGAACTGTAATGTTTAACATTGCAGCACTGGGTGCAAAAGAGACACTGCACCAAGACAACATCAATGAGCTGGAGTGGTATGGGTGCCTACAGTGTCCCTTTAAAATTAGTTTCTTAAAGAATAAACCTGATAGTCTTACACTTTGACCTCCCCTGCAATTGTCTTTGCCTTAGTGTTTCCCTCATATAGTTTGTAGGTAACAGATTAACTTCCATAGTTTCCGGAAAAAAAGTAGTTATCAACCAATCTTGGACTTTCATTCTTTTGGTGATTTATGGGATAGTTTGTTCATTATTTCTAAGTGGCTGGCTTTATTCTCAAACCTGAATAAAAATGGAAAGCTAATAGACCTTTGCTGCAGTTTTTAGGTCTATAGACTTTGGAATAAGCTTTTGTGTGATTGACTAGATTTATTGTTTTTGCATAATGATCCAGGATTTGCTTACATTGTCCTTTTTGGTGCATTGGATATATTTTCATGATTGTTACATAAAATGTGACCTTAAAAAATAAATATATATGTATATTTTATTTTTTTAAAGGTCACATTTTATGAGATATAAGCTGGCAACCAGAGACAGTGTTCTGGGCTGCTTGACATGCCTTTTGGACTGTCCTATAGCAGAAGTTCTGCTTCTATAACGTTCTCAGCAGTGAATTACTAATGGTGTTTAAAGCACTGCGGAGTCCTTATGGTGCTTAGACTGATTAAAGGGACACTATAGTCACCCAGACAACTTCAGCTCAATGAAGTGGTCTGGGTGCCAGGTCCCTCTAGGGTTAATCCTACCTGCTCTGAAACTGCTATGTTAACATTTGGGGTTAAACCAGCCTCTAGTGGCTGTCTTCTGGACAGCTACTGGAGTCGTGTTGGGCCTCCATCACGCAGAGCGTCAATAGAAAAGCATTGGAAAATGCTTTCCTAAGGACACTTTGAATGCGCGCGTCACTGCCCTGCATTCGGCAAGGGGAGGAGAGGTAAGGGAGCCCGGCGGTGCAATAAGGTGAGTAACTGAAGGGATTTTAACCCTTTCAGTACCACGGGAGGGGGACCCTGAGGGTGGGGGCACCCTCAGGTTACCATAGTGTCAGGAAAGCAGACTTGTTTTCCTGACACTATAGTGATCCTTTAAAGGACAATATAAACATAAAAACAACTTGAGCTCAATGAAACAGTTTTAGTGCACATATCCTACCCCTGCAGTCTCACTGCTCAATTCTCTGGCATTTAGGAGCACGCAAAACATTTATGAAATACTAATAAATGCACAAGAGTACAGCAATGACATTGGCATCTGGCACTGAAGCAACTGAGCAGAAGAGGACATGTTGGAAGAAGATGGCGGCGTCCGCTAGGTACAGATTCAGGTAAGTAGAACTCTCCTTCCCAGCCACCCACCAGACCACAATATCTGCATCAGACGGTCACAGTGCTGCTTTAACCCCATAACGACCAAACTTCTGGAATAAAAGGGAACCATGACATGTCACACATGTCATGTGTCCTTAAGGGGTTAAATCACTTCTATAGGTTGAAGCTAAATTGATGCCTTGCCACTATATCCCCAGTAAAAAAGAGGGGAGATAGGTACAGCGCAATATGGTCAGATGGTGGTACCAGCTCCACCTAGGGGCTTGGACCCGAAAATTGTATAAACTGAAAAAAGAAGAAAGTAATCTCCAACTAGGGAGATCTTTAGATGCTGGTAATCAGTAATGAATGAAAAAAACAATTGGAATGATTGACAATTGTCTCTAGGTTACAGTAGGTATGTATCTGAGGGAAAAATTAAAACTTATTGTTCTTATTGTAGTCACATTTACTCTTTAACAAAAATATATACATATATAACTTTATTGGTCTTTTGCCTAAAAAGGTACACTGTGAAAAAGAACAGAGCCCTAAAATGACTATTAACAGACTAGCAGTTGTGCCTGCTCATAATTATGTTGCATCTGGTCAAAATATAGCAAATGTAATGATTGATTATCCACTTCATAGTCTCCTTTATGACCAAGTGCAAAATAGTCTATACAGATAGCCGTCTGTTAGGTGGTAATAACAAAAATAACCCTGAAACCTACAGGGATATGTGAAAAAGAGGACCAAAAATTGAAAATAGTGTAGACTCTAATCATATAGAGGTGATAACACTGCAAAAAAGCGCAAAGAATAAATAAATGAAAGTCATACATAGGGAGTCAGATCAGCCCTTTCATCTGTGCTTAAAGGACCACTATAGTGCCAGGAAAACATACTCGTTTTCCTGGCACTATAGTGCCCTGAGGGTGCCCCCACCCTCAGGGTCCCACTCCCGCCCGGCTCTGGAAGGGGGAAAGGGGTAAAAACTTACCTTTTTCCAGCGCTGGGCGGAGAGCTCTCCTCCTCCTCTCCGCCTCCGTTACGCCCCGCCGGCTGAATGCGCACGCGCGGCAAGAGCTGCGCGCGCATTCAGCCGGTTTCATAGGAAAGCATTTACAATGCTTTCCTATGGACGCTGGCGTGCTCTCACTGTGATTTTCACAGTGAGAAGCACGCAAGCGCCTCTAGTGGCTGTCAATGAGACAGCCACTAGAGGATTAGGGGGAAGGCTTAACCCATTTATAATTATAGCAGTTTCTCTGAAACTGCTATAATTATGAAAAAATGGGTTAACCCTAGAAGGACCTGGCACCCAGACCACTTCATTAAGCTGAAGTGGTCTGGGTGCCTAGAGTGGTCCTTTAAATAGCCCGATTGAGTAGAGTATGCAGATGCATTTGGAAAAAAGTCTGAAATTGAGGCACCTGCAATAAAATATTTTATTGTATAAATCTTGCATCATCTGCAATTTTTGAAGTCTCGAGCGAACAATGAAACTATATATCTATATAGTCCTAGTTTATTAAAAGTCCTAAACATCTTGAGTTCGACAAATCGGTTGCCGTGGTAACAGATTTGAGACTTGCCATCCAGTGATGTGCCTGCTGGCCATGTAGTTGAAACTCCATGCATCGCTTTGCATTTTTTGCAGTTTGAAGTAGCTCATGCTGAGTGTGTCTGTAGTCCTGGCAGGATTTGCATGTCTAAGCATTTGTCCCATACAGTCAGGAGGATCTTACCTGGAACTCGCTGCTCAGTAATATAACTTTTATATGTCCTTGTAGTGCAGTTTTTATAGGCAGTTTCACAAATGGAAAATATGAAACAAAGGCTCATGCATTTCCCATGGAAATTCAAACTTGTCCTACAAAGCAATCTTACAATGTGATGAGTAGGTGCTTTCCCAGGTGCATACACATAACTGCTCCCTTGCAGTCCAGTACTACTGTTTCAGATACAGTGCTCTATTACATTGGAACTTGATCAAGCGACAAGGTGGATTTGATGGCAGTTTGCTGTAGCTGTTCACCTGTTACACATGTCACATGCTAACCATGGCAAGTGCTAGTGTTGGGTTCTGGTTCATGTCCACTTTTAATTTTGTGATAATCACTTGGCACTATTGAATGCAGGTAACCAAATGTATATCCACAGTTCTCCGTAAATATCACTTGTGGATGAAAGTACCTTTTTGGCTTGACTAGTAGCTTAGTACTTAAGTTTTTATTAAGTATTAATCAGTGTTAAAATGTCCCAATTGTCTTAGACCAGTGGTAGTCAACCTTTTTCCACTTACCGCCCACTAATGCATCTTTCTTGATGGAAAAATTTCCTTACCGCCCACCAGTTTTCGCGCAAGCGCGGAATATTTTTTAGAAAGGAGGGTGTTTTAAAAAATACATAAATGAACGTACATTTATCTTTTTATTTCTACTTTATGCATGTTTATAATGTTTTTAACTTTATAAAGTTTAATGAGGAAGCAATAAAGTAAATTGAGCTTACCTTTACTAGTGATTAATGAGATCCTTGAGGTTGATGCTGCGAGACTAAATATTTGATATCTGGTTCGATTTTTATAAGGAACAAACGAAGGTCTCCTCTTTCAGTGATAATCGGAAGACTTCTTTGTTTGCTCATAAAATGATTTCTCATCTGTGCGTCAGCTCCCCTCCTCTCCCTCCTCAATTCCCCTTCCCACCTTTTTCCCCTTTTTTCTATTTTTTAACCTTCCTTATAGCAATGCCCAATAGGAAGGCTGAGCTAGGTAGCCCACTTACTATTATTAGTCAACAACAATTCTCTCCTTTTCCTTTTCTTTCCTTCTCCTTTTTTACAAGTACTCTACTCCTTCTTTCCTCTATACTAGAAGTACTCTACTCCTTCTTTCCCCTATACTAGAAGTACTCTACTCCTTCTTTCCCCTATACTAGAAGTACTCTACTCCTTCTTTCTCCTATTCTACAAGTACTCTGCACCTTCTTTCTTCTATTCTACAAGTACTCTGCTCACAGGCAAACACATACACACACACACACACACACACACTCACATTGAAACACATACACACAAATATACACATACTCACACATGCACTTACAGACACTCACACATGCACAGACAGACCCACAGACACACACACATACACTTACAGACAGACACATACACTTACAGACACAGACACATACACTTACAGACACAGACACATACACTTACAGACACAGACACAGACACATACACTTACAGACACAGACACACACATACACTTACAGACACACACACATACACTTACAGACACACACACATACACTTAGAGACAAACACATATACACACAAATTATTAATATTAAATATCCACCCAGCCTCCCTACCTGGAGAGCTGGTGTGGATCTGTCCCTGGGGTCCAGTGGGGCTTCACTTAGGCGGGCGGCTAATCAGACGCGGCGAGGGAGCTCTAACCTCTCTGCTCTGCTCCCTCGCGGACTGTCTACGGATGCCGGGAGCCGGAATATGACATCATATTCCGGCTCCCGCGGCATCAGCAAACATCGCGCGAGGGAGCAGAGCAGAGAGGTTAGAGCTCCCTCGCCGCGACTGATTAGAACGCTGCCATGCCGGGGGTCCAGAAGGTGGCCTGGCAGGAGGGAGCGCTTCCTCCTGCCGGTCACTGAAGACTTGCGCATGCAGAGCCGCTCGCGCCCGCCCAAAAGGAGAAATCCTCTTAAAAAGAGGATTTAGCCTCAGAAATCCCTACCGCCCACCTGGAATCCTAAAACGCCCACTAGTGGGCGGTAGGGACCAGGTTGACGACCCATGTCTTAGACGATATGTGTCATATTTCTGATAATTGGTTTCTTGTAATTTACTATGTTCGCTATAGAGATGCATTGATTCCATTGCTGCGCACACACAATGGCCTCCCAACTCTTTCTTATGGGAAACCATTGGATTGGCATAGATCGAGGTGGATGATCTCTGCCATAATGGTGGTGCCAGGCGCTGCGTGGGATTAAAGTTGTATAACACCTTTCCCATGGGATCTAAGGGGGAGGAGTATAAGTAGTTAAACTCTAGTGTCAAGAACGTGTGTTTGTATTCCTAGCAGTATAGTGTCAGAAATAGAAGTTTTATTTCTAGCACTATACTGCCTTTTCGTCTCTCTGCTTCAATGCATTCCCATGGGGTTTTTACTGATATTGGATGTGTTCGTGCAGAGCGTGAGGACGTCCAGTATCAGTTGGATGACCAAAAGTCGCCTATCAAGCAGGAAGTGCCTCTAGTTGGCTGTCTTAACCCTGCAGTGTAATTATTGCAGTTTCTCAAACTCAATGACCTGAAGTGGTTTGGGTGCCTATTGTCCCTTTAAAGAGACACTATAGTCTCCAGAACAACTACAGCTTATTGTATATGTTATGGTGAGTGGAGTAGGCTTTTTACTGTAAACACGAATACAATGTTTACATTACAGCCTAGGGATACCTCTACTGGCTACTAGAGGCATTTCCTGTAAGTGCTGCTAATTCAATGCATCTGTATGAGGAGATACTGATTGGCCAGGGCTGTGTTTGGCTTGTGCTGGCTCCGCTCTTGAACTGCCTCCTTGACAGCTTCAGCCAGTCCTTTGGGAAAACATTGAGATTGGCTCAGAGAATCACTTCTGATGTTGGCCAAGCAGGCAGATCAGGGGCAGAGGCAGCAGCTGCAGACTTGAATACAAGTAAGATTTTACTATATTTAGGGAGGCAAGAGCAGACCAGGGAGGGCTATATGGTTGGGAATACATGTTGGTGTGACACTATGGTGTACCTTTAACTTTAATTTACAGAGCAGGAGCTAAAAGCCTCTAAAGCAAGTTAACACCTGAAAGTAAACTAATTTTGTCATGCAGGTTGTCTGTCACAACCAGGAGAATGTGACAAGAACTGAATAAACCAGTAATTTTACTCCTAAATGGCAGAGAATTGTGCAGTAAGATTGCAAGCACACTATGCACTAGAATTGCTTCATTAAGCTGAGGTTGTTTGATGCATCTAGTATCCCTGTAAGTATCTGAACATTTTGAACTGGACTAGGTTTACTGGTTGACCAGTGTTAATTTTATTCCCATTAAGGATCAATGACTGATTTATTTAGTCATGGCAGTCTGTGCCAAGAGGATACACGATGGAATATTTCCATCATGTGCTAAAGCTAACGCCAGATTGCTCTATCGTGTGGTTAATGCTATTGCTTGGTGACTCGATGTCAGAGACTGATCAGCAACAGCAAATAGTGCTTATTTAGCACATGTGATCGCTGTGACAGCCAATCACAGTGCTGCTGGGATGTCTTAGCCGCCTCCCTCCATCTCAAAAGTTGTGAAGTGGAGAGAGATGGATCAGATTTACTTTGTGTGTTCATATTGAGTAAAATCTGTACAAAAAAAACACAATTTTACTAGAATATTTAGCGGAGATTGGCATTTAACAGGCTATGTTAAAACGTGTCAAAATACCCTTGGGTAAATAGCCTGAGATGTCTGCTGTATATAAATGTGTACTTTTTGTGTGGCAATTTTGTTTTCTGTGATGTTGTAAAGCATACCAGACATACTAAATTCTAAGATTGCACCACATTGACATTTTTGTAACCCTTGTATTTTGTGACCTGTAACAACCAAAAATAATCTGAAATCCTAGACACATGATGTACTCTGTAAATCAGAACAAATGTATTTTTAAATGGTATATAATTTGTTGGTGCAATAAATGAAAATGGTGGAAATTGCTGTTCAGCGCAAAAAAATTGCTTCGGTCTTTAAGCGAAAAATAGGCTAATGAAGATTAGTCTTTAAGGAGTTATACAGTAACAAATATATTTTGGCAATTGCCATATGGAGAAGCTTCTTTGTAAAATTGTCAGTTTAAGTATTTTGCTTACAATTTTATTTATTTTTTGATGGTAATGTTTGTGCAGTGTATTTGAAGGGAAAGTAATGACCATAATCTTTTCATATCCGCAACCTCACAATACATTCTATGCCCAGTACAGTATAAAATGTTTCAAGGTTGGGAGGGTGGATCCTTGTTATCTAGAAAACTTGACTTGTTTAACCCTCTGTTTCTAAATCATCTGTATATTGTTTTTTAGGCATGTTATGCTGCCAAAAGAGCTGGCAAAGCAAGTACCCAAAACACATCTAATGTCAGAAGAGGAATGGAGAAGGCTTGGTGTCCAGCAAAGCCTTGGTTGGGTTCACTATATGATACATGAGCCAGGTGAGACTATTGATAGTGTGACTTGAATTTGCTTTAAAATCAAAGCACAAACCGCATTAGTGGAGCACCTGCTAAATATTTTATAATTGTTTTTTTTTTTTTTTCATATTTAATATAAAACACAAGCATGGAGGTACAGAATCAAAATATGGAGTATTTTCACAAGAAGGGGGCGGCAGAGGGAGCTGTGATGACAGGAATACAGCCTAGTATTCTAGCAAACAAGAAAAAATGTTTCGGCCAGTAGCCATTTATCAATGCTGGAAGGACATCAGCATTGATAAAGGGCTGCTGCAGAAACGTTTGTATTTTGTCCTTCAAATTGGTAACACCAGGGGGGTGCAATTAAAAATCTAATTGCACAAGACTCCAATTTTTTCTTATTTGCCATTATACATTGGTGGAACTACAGTGTGGAGACATTTCTGCACTGTGGAAAGTTGTTTGGTTTGTATGGAAATTAGTGTAGGCATGTATCTTGCTTCTACCTCATTGCACATATAGTGACAGCTTTATATTCCTGGCATTATAGTATCTCTTTAAAGAATGTATTGTTCAATTACTGTGGCTGCAGCACTCATGCACTAATTATGGATATGTTTATCTGTATCATTTTTATTTTACTTTTTTGCAGAGCCCCATATACTACTTTTTAGAAGACCTATTCCAAAAGACCAACAGAAATGAACTACTTTCCACCTTCTGGGACAATCTGTATATATTGTAGTATTCAGTGAATACAAAGACTGACTCAAAACACAGCTGTGCAAGAGCTGTATTAACAGCAGAAGAGCTCAGTTGGTGCATCTAGAGATGGAGCTGCTATGTCAATTTCCTTTTGTTTGTCTGTCTTGTCACTTAGTGTTCATCCTTTCTTTAATTGGACCACTTGTTTAATAAAGTTTACATGTTGCATGCATGTCTGATCTTATATTGACTAATGTGTTTGTTGTTTTTTTGTTTTTTTTCATGTCACTCGGTTTTAAAAGTTTAAAACTAAACTATGTAAGAGCACATCAGGGGTATAAGCCACCTCTGTCATTTGTGGACTAGTGATCTTGACTAGCAATTATGTGTTATATAAGAGAGGCTCCAAAAGTCCTATGCCACTAGCCTGGTCGAAATAGTTACTCACCACAGGAAGTCTGGAGAGTCCATGGCATACTCACCAAGGGGGTGAATTGCTGTTCTTTAGGGCTGAGTTTGTAATCACCAAAGGCTAGTTGTGGGTGGAAATTGAGCCTTCTATAATTTTTTTATTTTTTTTTATCAAATGCTGAATTTTCTTAACTTGATATTGACTGAATCGTTCTAGAAGTAGTTCTTTTGAGTTAATAAAAATAAAGTAGGGTGCTCTTTAAAAGAACACACATCTCGAAGTGTTTATGGTGACTGAAGTACTCCAGTGCAGTTTTATTGAACACTTTTTGGATTGTTTAACACAGAAGTAGTGTCCTCTGGTGCCTGTTCTTCCACATTATCAGAGCAGCAAAGATGCTGCAGCTAGGCACCCGAGTACACTAGTTGAAGACTTTAACAATCAAAAACTAGGAGACATTACTGTGCCAGTGGACCCAAGACACTATAACCACTTAATTGGTGTTATGTGGTTGTTTGCATTTCGTCTAAGCTGTAGGCTTTCATATTTCTGGATTGCAACAGAGTTGAGCTCTAATTTATTTTAAATTTACAATTGTTCCTGTCTTTTGACCATATGCACACCAATATAATGTATACAAAACTTTTTTACTTTGCTTCATAGTATGTAATGTGAAAAATTGCTATAGTTGCCTGATACTTTAATTGGAATAAATATTGCATTTGTTTCCTTGTCAATGTAATGATTACTGTTTTTGTTTTTCTCTCTCCCTTTTTTTGGGGGGTGTGGGGAGGAGAGAGGTGTTCATTTTATCCCTCTGTGGATGTGTATCTTGGAATAGTTATCCAGTTGACTCGCTTTGCAATTTTTCTGTTTCAGCCCTTTATGACAATTTTAAAAGAACACTCCAAGACCATTACAAGTTGCTGTAGTTTAGTGACAGAGCTTCCCACCACTTTTTAATTACTCAAGCTGTTTTTAGAACGGTGTGACATCTTACCTGATGAAAAGGCTATAATCAGACTAGGTTTGAAATCAGACCAGGTCGTATATACGAGTGCTATAGATAGGTGGAGAAACCGTAATTACGCTTACTCCAAACAGACAAAATGTTCAGATAAGAAAATTAATGGGGGAGAGAGAAGAAAAGAATCATAGTATAAATCCGTGCTGGATATGTGATAGACTGAGATGTACACTCTCATGGATAAGAGCCTCTAGATCAGGGGTTATCAACCCAGTCCTCGGGACCCCTTACCAGTCCAGGATTTGGGGATTACCTGGGTGTGTCTAAGGTGTTTAGAAAAAGGGGGGGAAAAAAACACCTTCGACTCTAAGATGTTTTTCTTTTTCTAAACAGCTTAGACACCCAGGTAATCCCTAAACCCTGGATTGGTAGGGGGTCCTGAGGACTAACGTTGAGAACCCCTGCTCTAGATGGATAGGCTCAAATCACATCAGCATCTGTGCTGGCTGTTGGCACTTGACTCGTTTTGGTCCCAGTGAATATCCTCAGAAGCTAAAAATAAAACAGACTGCTTATAGTGTAGTATATTGTGCCATGTGAACAATGACTTAAAATTAAAAGTGCAAATAAATGCTCACATTTTCCAGAGCCAACAGAACCTGCCTCTGGGTTATGGCGCTTGGGTGCCTATTAAGACTACACCAGCCCTTCTTTGGAAGCAGAAGTGGAGGAAGCTAGAGTAGGACTAAAATAATTTATGCATTAATACACAAATAAAAATGTAAAAGTCCAAGAAAATGTCCCATAAAGGCTCCTCATACTGAGAAGCGTTTCTCCCAGGTCATTGGGCTTTCTCAATCGGTGTGTAAATCACAGCTGCTTCCTCTTTGCTTGTAAATATCCAATAAAGTTCCAATTCCATATGGGGGGGGAGGGGGGGTTAAGTGTGTCTGCCTTTATCCCATTATCCTCAGTTCATATCACGGAAGCGGTGCGGCACTTCCCGCTATGTCACTTCCGGCCATCTTCATTTAAGACACTTGCTAGCCGCCATGTGAACTGCAAGTGATGTGTCTGAACCGGCCATCATCTCTCAGATTGTGCATATCAATCATTTTGGATACTGACCACATTGATCCCTTTTCTGTTTAAATAAACCATAGTGTGTTGAGGTAGGCGGCCATCAGCATCAAAGCGCCCTCAGGCAGAAGGAATTGTATATAAAACAGAATATACACAGGAAAAACAGTGAGTGCTGATTTAAAAAAAAAAAACCTCATATTGTCCCAATTCCTTGGTAATGTTTCTACTTGAGTGGAATAAAGGGACATATTAATGATAGATTTAAAAAAAAAAAAAAATGTGGGTATTATAAAAAATGTGTGTAAAAAAAAAAAACAACCACATTTACAATGTTTAAACAGTGCGATGTGTAAAGTGCCTTATTGCATTGATCAAGTCATATATCCGTTTAAGTTCTAAAGATAGTGGGAAGTCAACTACTATAAAAAAAAATGGCATAATTCAAAGTTGCTGTTAAGTCCATGTGGTAGAGAGGTATCTAAATTAAAGATCCACCACGTCTCACATTGTCCCATTTTTCTCCCCTCCAATTTGTTTTAATTAACTGTATACCAATAAAACTCAATTGTGTCCTGATTGTTTCTGTTTAAAGTGCAATGATAAACTATGCTGTTCAAACCTGTTTCTAATATTTCTCACATGTTCCCGTATACAGGTTTTTAGAGGTCGTGATGTCCTCCCCACATATCCCAGACCGCATGTGCATGTTATAAGATACAGTATATGACTTTCTTGGAGTGGCAAGTATTAAGGTCTTTAAGTATTTATCCAATGGATAAATTGGATGGTTTGTTAAATTCATTAGTGAATCTCTGTTACCTGTATTCCAGGTAATACATACTCCACATCCATAGAAACCCACTGGTTCATTAAACATATTGAATTTCTTTTTAGACTTAATGTGATTATGTACCAGCTTCCTGTGACAAACGCCACTTTCCACAGACGTTTGCCACGGACTCCTGGAGAGGTGTGGAAGCTGGCCGCCTGCCCACCAACTATGGGCCAGGTCAGCGACTGTAAAGACCCATATTTTATTCTCCGTGGTTCGGGACTTTCATTTCATGCACATTGAACCGAACGCTAGCTCTCTGGCAGCCGTTCGCATGGACCAAAACCGCAAATAGACTTCAGGGGGACTTAGCCACGAATGCTCTGGAACAATTTTCAGCATGAAGACTTTGCAGTTCCCGGTCGGTCCCCAGCGGCACTCAGCCACGATTCTATGAAACTATTTTGGGCATAGGACCGTGCGGTTAGTCGGTCAAATTATGACTTCCAGGAAAATCCTGAACCGATCTGGGTGATTTTTGGATATGTTGGTTACCCAGATCGGGGCTATCAGGGGATGTAACTTTTGTGGGGATTTTTTGTGTTTTTGAGGTTTTGTAAAAATGTATGTTTTGTGTGCCTGGAGATAATTGAGTTTAATACAGTGCTGACTTAATTATCTCCCAGGCATAGGTGAGGGATTGACGCATTTTGTATGGGAGTGTCCTGGACCTGAAAGCCAATGCAATCGTGTATGTTTTTACTGTAGTCTACCCTCAGGCCAGTTGTGGCTGCCATTAAACAGATTTGTTTTACCCTTCATGAAGTCTAGGCTCATGGTTTTGGGATTGGAGAGCTATATTCACTCAGGGTATTGCTAAAGCCCCTATATTTCCTTGGCGTACAACGATTGCTCTTGTAAGAGCAGCCTGCTTTGCTCCCTGGACAAGGAGAGGTCTAACCACTGGAAGCTGGATCCTGGTCTTGGGTCCAGGGTGGGTGGAGGACAGCGAGACCCCAAACAAGCTGCAGCGGTTTGTGGGGTTCGCAGGGGTTACGGTGTCCTGTGCGGTGCTTATGGTACTTAAGGATAACAAGGAAGTAGCGATTGACGGAGGTACCAGGTCGGGGTGCCAGGCGGTCTGTCACACTTCCTATTTAGATTTGGGACTCCCCTATATGTTGTTGGTTTCTCTAGGAGAAAAGTGTTAAGGACGTTTAACAGCCACAGGGAGTAATGACACCTGGTCTCCTCTATGTAGCTGTTAACGTCCACAGTTTTGAAAAAAGTACGGGTTTTCATTATGTTCTACGTAAATGGTTAAGTGCAGGAAGTTAACAGAAGTTTTATTGTACTCACTGGCAAGAGAGATGCCACAATCATTGGAATTTAAGAAAGTTACAAATTCTTTTACCGAGGTTTCAACCCCTTTCCAAATAAAAAATATGTCGTCTATGTAACGGCGATATAGAAACAGACTCGATCCCCAGCCTTGGTTCCCATATATGTACTGAAGTTCCCAATGGGATATAAATAAATTTTCATAGCTGGGGGCGAACCTGGTGCCCATCACTGTTCCACAGACTTGTAGGTAAAATTCTTCCACAAAAAATAATTATTACTTAAAATCCACAGGATACCCTCTAGAATAAAATCGTTCTGTGCCTATTGTCTACCAGGTGCTGCCTCTTGCCCCCACCACTAACAATGTAGAGCTGCAAGCTTGTCTCAGGAAAGCTAATAGAAGATACAGGCCCTGTCGTTAGTGGAGGCAGGGAGCAGTGCCTGTCCGACTCCACATAAGAAGTATAACTGTTGTATGATCTGACTTCCTTCAATGGGGGCTGGCACCAGCTTATGCTTGTTGCTTCCAAGGTCTGCTCAATTGTTTAACCCCTTAAGGACACATGACATGTGTGACATGTCATGATTCCCTTTTATTCCAGAAATTTGGTCCTTAAGGGGTTAAAGGACCACTATAGTGCCAGGAAAACAAATTCGTTTTCCTGGCACTATAGTGCCCTGAGGGTGCCCCCACCCTCAGGGTCCCACTCCCGCTACGCTGAAGGGGGAAGAAGGGGTTAATCCCTTACCTTTTTTCCAGCGCCGGGCTCCCTCAGCGCTGGAACTCTCCTCCCTCTTCTGATGTCATCGGCTGAATGCGTGTGCGCATTCAGCCAGTTCATAGGAAAGCATTCTCAATGAAGTTTGTACATAGTGTAACCATTTCAATCATTAAAGGGACACTGGTGACCAGAATCACTGCAGCTTAATGTAGTTGTTTTGGGGCATGTAGCCTGTCCCTGCAGGCTGAGCATCGTAATATCTGCCTTTTCAGAGATCTGCTTCTAGTGGCTGGCATCGGGGAGAGACTAATGGTGCTTCCTAGACAAGATCCTGCACTCTGTATAGGACACACGTTTAGTGTCTCCATGCTCTGCCATCTCTTGTGCAGCTGGTTGCTTTGCCACTTTCCTTGCTGCAATATCATGTGCTGTATACATTGGGAAATCTACAGTTTTCAATACTTTGTCAAGCAGGAGGATTCCCTCTGAGGTAGGGTTAAGTGTTGAGGGTATGGTATTCATGTTGGGTATCGTACTCTTAGCAATAGCAGCATACTAATATGGGGTTTTTACAGTAGTGAGACACATGGCCTTTGAAATTCCTTATGAAAATATCACATGTGAAAAATACAAATATAACCAGCGGATTTGCAAAAGGTTTGTGAAATTCTATTAAATGAAGAGTAAAAATGCTCTTGGACGCTCAGCGACTCACTGGAACAAATAGGCAAAACATTCCAACAGTACTTCAAATCTTTATATAATCACTCTCCGCATCTCCACCAAGACACCACCACCCACCTGATACAGATAGACAACCTCCTACAACACATAACATTACCTACCCTACACAA